TATATCCAAGGTATCTGCAAGAGGCCTCAACTCAGATACACATATTTTCTCCTGTTTTTTAACGTCATGGAAAAAGGTTTTTAACATAATTGAAATAGTTTGAAATGTCGTAGAAGAAAAAGTTTTCCGTTTCCGTTTCATTTTTTCCTGTTTCTCTTTTCAGAGTCGTCGTCATTTTTTTATGTAGGAAGCCTGTACCTTCTTTCTATTCTTCCATCTTGTAACAGACGCAAAAATACATTTAAATATTCCTGACTCATAGCTTCCATAATTGCGATCAATGAATTTATTCTTTACTGATGAATTTTATAAGTGTTAATAGAAAGTTACATGGAGAAAGACAAGCAACATTCTTATGGCGTGAACGAATTGATGGAAGATGAATCATTAAATGTGTAATAAGTGTATATGAACACACATGATACAATATCAACATGATAGTTTATCGTTCAAGAGGAACTTGTCAAGTATTGAATAAAAAATCACCTACTGCTCCACAGGCATAATGAAACGCGCAATTAGCGTGTGTTTTGCTATCTCATTAGAAATAATAAAAACATCACCAGTCAGTAATTGTTCGTTTCAGAAAATGCATCGTCATTGAATATTGAATAACATAGAAAACTTCGAACATTGAATAACATAGGAAATAAATTCATTGCTATTAAGTATTATTTGAACACTATCCATTAGATTTCTGCTGATCAAGATCATCCTTAAATGTATATTTTTCGTTTGTTACGAGAAATGAAATAGAAAAAAAATGCAGGTTTCCTACATGAGAAATAACAACGACTTTGGAGAAACCTAAAAAAAAATTATAATTATAATTGGAGTTCATATAATGTCCCGGGGACTTTTTATTTATATATAGTAGAAATTCACGTTCAAATATATAAACGGATTTAACAAGCAAGAGTTTATTTGATTGAGCACTGGCTGAAATTTGGTTTGAATAAATGAACTTCGTACAAGCAGGCTTCTACTGTGAACGCTGATATTTAAAGTTTGGTATTATTTTCCTACATTACGAAACGTTTAATTAAAAGTTCTTGCGCAAGGAGAATGGCATGTAAGGAGAACAGAAAGAAAGAAACTGAATGACGCATTCTCGCAACCGTGAATACAATGATACTTAAAGTTAAACTTTTAATAATAAGTATAATTTGTAT